TAGCTTCCGGTTTGGTCCACTTCTATGGTTTATTATCATACAAAAGCCAAATAAATTTGCATCAAACATAATGATAGTGGGACCATTATGATCTTAGACTATATATTTGAAAAGTATATTGAGATAAACACAAAGATATTACGATAAGTACATAGAGCTAACTAGAAAACTAGACAATCATCACCCGAAATTAAATCGTGCCCCTAAATATACGTTACGTAAATTAAATCATGTTTGTGATAGAAACTAATGAAATAAAAACATAGAAAAATAAAAAAGAAGGTAATACGATACGAACCTTGACAAGGAGGATGAGAATTATTATATTTTATACTCGGAGGAGTATATTCGACGAGAGCCATTTCCTTGCTTGTTGAAGGATCCTTGACATGAAACGTAGCTGCGAATTTGATATCCATTTATATGTAACATAAATAACCTTAGCTAAATTTAACCAAAAGAAAATATAGATTATAATATAAATTTAGTCCATAATATATTTACAAGAAGCATAGGAATAAAAGTCGGGTAGCACATTTGTGGACTCCCACGTATGTAGTAAGAAATGTGTCCCACGATTGAACCCATGACTTATAACATTTCGAAACTGAATTTTAATTATTTCAATTTCAAGCCTTTTTAGATTATTGTTACTAATGAATAATGGTAAACAAAAAGAAATTGAGCGTTCTAGACTTAAAGCATTAAAGACAAAATATCACTAGCATCTTATGATTCATTGATTAGCATTTATTTTAAAGTTTGAATTAAAGGAAGTCTCAATGGAAATAATATCTATACATGATAATAATATTTATAGAATATAATGGAAATTGTATAAACCTGAAGGACGAAGAAGAGGACCACGAGCAGTGAAGAGATGGACTTGTTCATAATGGAAGAGAAGATTGAGATAATGTTTCCTTAAAACAAAAGAAGCACTTGTTGTGGTCGGAGAGAATCTAAACACTCCTCCAACTTCCCTCCATTTTTTCTCTGCAACTACCTTTTATTTCACATGCATTTTCAAGAAAAATATATTTAAGATTTGAGAGTAAGAATATTTTTATTTGTGTAATGAAAAAGAAAAGTGTTGACCTTTTCGTAACCTCCTCTCCTCGTGACTTCCACATACAAAACATGCAAATCCAATTCTTTTCCTCCAATCACAGGAATCCTTGTAAAAAAGTACTTTTATTTTTATTTTTTTTATAACGTATATAAAAAGTGATGATAAAAAATAAATATATAAAGTAAGAAGAGAGGAAGAATAATGGTTACATGAATTTGGTAGCCATAATGGAGTGAAATCGCCTGAGAGTATCCCAGAAGAGAGAAGGATCTTTAACGACATCTTCATGCGAAGCTAATGGTTCTGGATACTCTTTCATCTTCGCCGGAGAAGTCGCCGTCGTTTCTACCGTCGCCTGAGACGGTGTCGATTCGTTTTCCGACGACATCGTTCAAGAGAAGAGAGAGTACTG